ATATCTGGCACAATGGACAGAATTTCCAGAAACCAGGGATAGGTGTGGTGTGGTCCCATTTCCAACAGGCAAAATAAGAATTATTCCTTGATTCAGAGAAAGAGAGTTAAAATGCTTCCAGGTTTAGAACTGACAGCTAACGTGGGAGATTTCCACCAGTCCCTACCACTGAGAGCAGCAGTACTTACAGGTAAGGGCTAGCTAAGTGGCGATGGTACACCCCTCTTCGGGATTCCGTACCTGAAATACAGACAAGGTTTGATATTGGAGTGTAATCCCCTTATAGCAAACACTGGATTCATGCATTATGAACTCTTACTTGCAGGCGTAAAGCTAAGCATGTGCATCACTGAATGTTGGGTTGACTTCACGAGGAAGAGTAAGAGGATCATCTACCTGACTGGCACAGAGCCGACCTCTGAAGGGTGGCAAGACGTTTGGAGAATGCCTGGTTAAGCCTTCTTATTTTGCATACGGACACTAAATCCAAAAAAAGATAAAACACGGTCCCAAGTTTTCACGGGTAGTTAGTGATTGAGTTGGGACTAAACCCCAGATTTCCTGACTCTCTGTCCAGTGCTCTTTACAAAGCCAGCAGGAGTTGTGAGGCAGTCTTCTGTAGGATCACCCGAGTCAGCTCTCTACCATCTGGGCCAACAGGAAAACAGTGACTCACAGAATCCAGCATTCCTTTGGAATGCAGGAGAGGTGTGCCTTTCTTCTATGTTCTGAGCCTTTTCAATTTCTGTAAATAAAACCCTATTTTAAATGCCCTGGGAGAGTTGGCAATTGTGAGTTCCCCGCAGGTCAAGATCATATTTGGTGGTACTTAGAACAAGCTTAGGCTGACTGACTGATAGATCCTTTGATAGATGGACAGCAAATGTCTGTACATCAAACTTCAAATCGTCAATGATTTTTGCTTAGACTCACAGCCATGTTCATGCATTTTGAAGCACTTAGGAGTGGCACAAAGAATGAGAGGCTGAAATTTGCCAAGGGTAACACATGTAAAATCATTGCAAGTTAGCTGTTTAGAAGCGTACATGTGAAGGTATAGCTTTTAATGTCAGGTTCCACTGTTCTTTAATCCAGGACGCCTTGAAAACTCATGATCTCATTCATCAGACCAACTATCTGAGAGTGGGTACTTTCTGAGAGCATTAAAACTGCCACAGGTAAATGACACACAGAGCGGACACCACCCTTCACATGAATTGCATCCATCATCCTGGCTGTACTGTGGGAGAGCCCTGCCTTTCTCTCTCCTCACAATCACACACGGCACTGATAGCAATAGAGTCACCACTCTTTCTGCCACCTCTCATAGGCCTCCAAATCTGCAGGACATAAGACACTCCGATTTCTCTATTTCTAAGTATGATAGTGGCCCTAACCATATCCTTCGCATGTATCTGCAAAGCTACTATAAAGACAATATTCAAAGAAAAGCGAAATTTAATAGTATGCCATTCTACTGTTCAAAAGTGTTCAATGACTTCTCATTGCCTACAGTACACAGCTCAGACTACCGAGGTGACACATAAGGCCTCCAGCAGGCTGATCCCACCTCTTGTTTCCTGTTTCTTAGCCTCATTATTCTGCTACATAGACCCTTCCTCTTAACCATGCTGGTCAGTTCACTGTTCCCCCAAATAATCTTGTGCCTCCCTCAGCTGAACACACCCTCTTCCTGGCCCTACTGTTCATCACCCATGTATCCAAATGTGACTTTCCATGGCTCAGCTCACTGCTAACTTCTCCTCTTTGCTACCCAACTAACAAAATTTCATGCTTCTTTTCCTCCACAAGAGCAGATCTACATTCTTGTTTTCTTCTGCTTTGAATATCCCACACTGTCTGGTACCCATTTTTAATAAACATGTGTTAATTGATTAATTCCAAATAGCAAAAAAAGGGGGGGGTCCATATTTAAGGCTCTTTAAAATATGGTAATAATCTGGAGCTGTTAATATATTATCCACACAATGGAAACCTCAGAGCATCTAGTATGTTGTCATTGGATTCCTTTCTTTCCACAGAAGACCAAACTAGGTCATTTCAAACCTCAGTCACCTTCAGAGAGATTCTAGGAGGGCACGCTAAGAACCAGCAAAGAAATCACATTCCTGGATTCCTTACTTGTTGTCCAGAGCTGCTACTGAATTAGATTCAGGCAAGTGTGAACTGGAGAAATGAACTAATCATTAGCACCATCCAAACAAAATGAAAGGAGCTCTTTTGTTATGTTGGCTGGATATTCAGGTTTGAAAGGAGGGAGTGAAGGAAGAAAAAGGAGAAGAAAACTAACAGCCATCAATTGTCTTCCCTTTGAATGTACCTTTCTTGCCTTTTCTGTTTCTTTTTTTTTTTTAACAACTATGTGATAGAACTGGAATATTTGGAAGGCATAAAATTGGGATTGAAAAGGTGGTTTGCTCTAATCTAATGAGGATAATTCCTAACATGTTTACCACCCAAATGCTCCTCTAACTGGGTTTTGTTTAGTTTGTCCAGAATACATTTCTTTGCTAAATTAAAAAGTGCCTAAAGTGGTATCCTGCCTATAAAATGGCATCTGACTTCACGAGTCACGCCAGAATAGTCAATGCAGTCCTTCTTGTAGGTCTAGTAACAAGGGTTATTTATTTCATAAACTTAATTTCATGGGTTTGGCCACATCCTTAAAAGACAAACATACTATTTGGAAAGAGGAAAACTGAGTTATGAAGGATGAGAAAAGAGTAAAACCAAAGAGCAAATAGGCAAAAAAGTTAATGTGAATATATTCTAGCTTCCTAAGCATTCAATAATTCTTTTTTTTTCATTCATTAAACTAATAAATAGTGGTCGTTTTCTATGTATCCATGCTCAATAGTGTCATTTATTCAATTATATTATATATATCCATTGAGTACTTGTTTTCTGCCAGCTAGCTAACCACTAGATATAACTTCTTTGCAGCCTAAAAGTTACTGAAAATAATGCAAATTGGGGGATAGATATGAAAAATTATAAATATTAAAGAAATAATTTCCAAAATAATCATACTATCTGGAATAATTGTTCCAAGGTCAAATTTGTCTATGATAAATTTTAAATTTTAAATTTTTCATCTGGTATAACACTAATCTTCCTTCATAACCCCCAGCACATGGGGTTCTACTTTGTTGATTTCCACATGTATCCAATTGAGAATAAGCTTAGTTACAAAAGAAGCAATGGAAGCGTTGGGCTCCAGAGGCAAACAGATGGGAATATGGCTATGTAAAAAACTAAATCCAGTGTAAACTTCGCACATGTAGCAACTAGTATTATTTTTACCCAAATGCCACTGTTGGGCATTTTCTTAATGGAATTCTTTTTTTTTTTAAATAAAAATTTTATTTATTTATTTGAGAGAGAGAGAGATCACAAGTAGGCAGAGAGGCAGGCAGAGAGAGGGAGAAGCAGGCTGCCTGCTGAGCAGAGAGCAATGCTGGGCTGATCCGAGGGTCCTAGAATCATGACCTGAGCCACCAAGGCACCCCTTAATGGAATTCTTTAAATCCTTTTTTATAGTTGTTACCTTCTTTAGACCAATGATTCTTATAGGGAGGAGAGAATTTTGCCTTCCTACTCCAAAGACATTTGGCTAAATGTAGGGACATTTTCAATTTTACCACTTAGGAAGGAGGAAGATACTGGCATCAGGTCTGTAGAAAGCAGAGAGGCTGCCCAACACTATGCAGTGCAAGGGGGAAGTCCCCACAACATAAAATTATCCAGCCCAAGATGTCATAGTACCAGTTTGAGAAACCCTGCTCTTGACCATCATTTTTCCTTCTCTTGGAGCCTGGTAACCCTCAAAGACAACAGGATCTAACCTGAGACCGGGCTAGGTGTTTTTTTTTTTTTAACAGTCTGGTGCCGAGTTCACATGCTTTGAAAGCTCAGTAGCTGTGACATCTTGTAAGTTTGAGCTCGTGGCTTAATCCCTTTAAGATTCCGTTCTTTAAAAAACAAAAAACAAAGCGAAGCAAACAAACAAAACAACACTACGTAATACCTCATAAGATCGTGGTGAACACTGAATCAAGTTTTCTATCTATCTATAGGAAGATATATTTATGTAAAGACCTAATCCGTAAAAGCCCTCTCATTCTTCCCGATCCACTCACCCCACCCCCACTCCTTTCTTTCCCCTCTCAATATCGCCCATCCTCAAGGCTCAGGTTCTCCCCTTTAAAATGTTTTAATTCCTTTGGTGGCCGAAATCAAGTTTGGGCTGGGAAGTGAGTCACCGCTCAGCAGCTAAAGGAGCTTGTTTTTCTTTCTCTGAATGTATTTCTGAAGAATTTCAGCCTGACCCTTCAGCCGTTTGTTGGTCGAATCCTCTCTTAATGTTCAAGACGCACAGAGAGTGAGCTACGGCACTAAGACGTTTTCCAATTGTTAGGAATGAAAGTTTTTTAAAAATACCGAAAATAACCAGAGGGCAGAGTCCTGAAATCCTGTTACATAAGCAGACATTGGAGGACCGAGGTTGGTGTTGAGGTTCCTTTCTCCACAAGCCAATCTCAGCTGATCCTCCCCAACCTTTGCTGGATTTACCTTAATGCTGCAGAAGTCTCAACAGGGGCCTCTGGATGCTGCACGCTACCGGCAGCACAGGGAGACCTTTCTTGACAAATAAGCACTGCCGGGAGTGAGGAGTGGAGGGCGGGTTTTACCCGCGGACCGACCCGGGCTGCGGGCGCAAGCTGCACCCGCTCCGCGCCGCGCGCTCGGCTCCGCGCCCTGGGCTCCGCGCCGCTGCCGGGCGGCCGTCCGCCAGCACTTGGGCTGTGCTCCTCGGACGCCCAGCGGCCCCTCCTTGGCCTCGCTTAGGAACCCTTCCGTTTTCCTGAACCGTTTATTTAGTTTTTCAAATTCACAGAAAACACCTTTAGTGCTAACAGTCACCCACAACTCCCCTCTTCAAAAAAAATAATAATAATAATAATAATAATAATAAAGAAAAAAAAAGTCACACAAAAGCAAAAAATAATCCAATTCTCCTTTCCTTCCAGACCTTGCGTGTTTGTCTCTCTCGGTCCCCTATTCATTTTCTCCCCAACCCATTTTCCGTCTTTGGTCTACATCGCTTTCTCTGTTGCTCTTCGTTCCCCCTTTTTTCTTTCTCTTTCTCCCTCCCTCTCCCGTTTCCATTCCTTCCACCGCTTCTACAGCCCCCTCCCGTCGCGTCTCTCCTCCCTCTTTCGGGCTCCTGCTCTGCCCTCTCCGCCCCTCCCCAGAGAAGAGTGTCCAGCTCCTCCCGGGGCTACCCGCCCGCCGCTCCTTTCCTGCCCACCTACTATGAGGAGCAGCTCCTCCCACCTGCCCATAAAAGCCAAGTGCATGTTACCAGCCGCGGATCAGAGCACTTTCCTGGTCCTCTCCTGTGGGAGCCCCCTGAGCCTTTCTCCTGGATCTTACGTGCTCAAGGTAAGACAACACTTCTGCAGGCATATGACCTACGAGGGGTTGCTGCGGGGGTGGGGAGTAAGTCTCCTCTGGTCAACACGCTTACTGTTTGGTTCGAGCGGACTCCTACAGATGCCAGATCAGCTGCTCCTTTAACTAGCAACTGGTTTAAAAACAAACTTCTGTTTGAACGGTTAAATAAAAGTTCATTTTGGGCAGAAACAGCAGCACAAATACTGCAAAAACCTTCTCTTTTTAAATCACTTTTCCCCCTTTGCCGACGGTTGCTGAAGTTAAAATGTATCTGTGTGGGGTGTTTTACTGACGCTTTTCATTGTAAATATTTCCTATATCAGTGGGGGTAAGGAAAACTTTGCCCATTGTCAAAAAAGTACTTTAAAAGAACACAATTAGTTTCCTAAAAATAGCACAGGCAAAAGGTCTGCTAACAATTCAGCGATGTTTTCGAACCCCCAAAGACAGCTTCTGTGAGTCCTTTAAAAAGTATCTTTCCAGGTTTAAGTGCTTGGAAAAAATGATGTGAACGGGTGCCCTTTGCAGAGAGACGGTAATCAGGTGGCTGGTAGATAGGAAAAAACAAATCCAAATTTACAAGCTGGGGCAAAATGTGCTCTCACAAAGCTATCTTTTCAAGACTTTTCTAAAATGAGAATGGTGTTGGAACCAAGAAAGTATATAAAAGAACTTCATCAATTTCTATACATACACCTAAACATAAAGGGTTTCAATATGTTTCACAGCAAGAGAAAAATACAGGCCAGATTATACAATTCTTCTGTGTACACCAGACGGTTGTAAAGAAAGATCAGCTCAAAGGCTTTGGAAGTTTGAACCCTACTTGCCACCTTCTTTTCCCTCATCTAGTAAATTAAAATCGACCTGACTAGCACCTGGTTCTCAGAGTTACCCAGTGTTTAAGTTCCCATCCCAGGTGAAGACTGCTGAATCTTCCCATTTCTGAGGTCAACGAAAGAGTCCCATGCACCTGTGACAGGAAACACATACTCCACAGCTACTTCTGTAAAAACCAGACACTTGGTCCATGAAGTTTGCTGTCAAAATCTGTGCGCTGTGTGGGATGAAACTCTCTCATGTGGGAGAAAAACCCTCTTCAAATATTTCCTCTGGGGAATTAATTGCACAAGACCACATAGAGACGACAAACCAAAGCTGGCAGTCAGGAAACCAAACCACTATTTCAGCCCTTAAGGTTCTTAAAGTAAAAGAGGAAAAGTTTCACTTTTTTTTTCTTTTTTGGTTTGTTTATATCGTTTCACTTAAAAAGGGGAAACTCACCAAAGCTGTAAATAATCCTTCACCATTAAAGAAAGTAGAATCATCAGAAGTTTAACGGAGGGTCTTCAAAGCTATTCTCCATATCTTTTGCATATCGAAAGAAATAATAAAGATATACTAAAATTCTGTTGGCATGGAGGGAATTCAGGGCTATTATTCAAATGAAAGACTTACCCGGATAGCTTTGTGTCATGCAAAATTTTGCTTCATTGGAAAAAGTTATTGCAAGGAGTATGGTTTCCTTAAAGAAAATGATATAAAGTTACTATTGGCCGATAGTATGTGACCTGAGCATATTAAAATACCTTTCATCTGGAGCCACAACGCAGACTGCTTGCTTCATATCTGATGTAACTGGGTAATCAACCACGACAAGAGCACAGGTATGGGACAAGGCCAAACCAAATGTGTGGTGTGTCCAAGTTAATTCTTCTTTTATGGTAGTACCGAACTCATGCCATCATCACAAGGGTGAAAAGACACTATTTCATTCACCAGATTTCCCTTGAGGGAAGTTATCTTTCCTGAAAGAAAAAAAGAGACAGACAGAGAGAGGGAGAGAGAGAAAGAAAGAGCTCCCAACGTAAAAGAGCTCCTGTCATTCCTAAATTTGGGGATGAACAGTGTTCTCCCAGAGTTTGCTTCTGCTTTTCCTGGCAGCTGATCCACTATACCAGCTATGAACCACTTAAGAATAACGGCCTCCCCCTTGTGCCATCAAATTCAGCACCCTAAATAACTGGGTGAGATCATGGAGATCACTCATGACCTAACTTTCCCAGGGCCCTTTACTGGACTCTTAAAGTGATTCTTTCCCTATAGCATACACATCAGGCATGATGATTCTTCTCTTAAGTTTTTAGGAAAAGCAGTGCTGGGGTTTCATTTAGTTACCCCAACATCTCCCCTTTGCACCCGTTATGGAGACCTCACGTGAGTCTTCTCTTTGTGCCATTCTATTGCTGCTCCTGGATTGGGTTCATGGCCATAACCTAAGCGACACCGTTCCAGCAGGCTTGCCGGACTCCTTTAATGGTTCTCAAAAAAGTAAAAAGGAGCAGCTGCCTGTTTCACTAGAGACACAGGGAAGGTGTACCACCGATTGCAAGGGCCTGCTACACCTAGGGAAACACACATTTGAGATTTTCTACTACTCACAATTCTAAAACGATATTCTTTCCATGACCAGCAAGTATATCCCACTTTCTTCCATTTGTGCTACAAAAGTCAAAGAGAAGAGAATGGAGATGAGAACTGAGAGTGAAGCCAGGAGAAATCTCTCATAGAAAGTGCTCTAGAAGAAGAGAAAGAGCAGAATCTCTTCCCAATGCAACTTCTTTTTGCTTTTACTGATGTGGGACATGAAGAGATGCAGAGGGGCAAATATTCATACGTGATCTTGGCTTCTGTCTTAAATCAATAAAAGTATTTCTACTAATACATTAAAATCTATCTCTGCCGTGTCCTTCTGGAACGGAGGAGAATAGCCCAGTTCTATAGACCAAAACGATTTCAGGTCTGCCCCCATTAAAACCCATAGGACCTTAACAGTTACAAATTTAAAAACTACGATGAGTACAAAAATCCTCAGAACATTAATGGGTGGTTCACATCAACAAACCCACTTTCCCAAAGGGCCCGATGGTGGGTAATTATTTGCAAGTGAGAAGTTAGAAGCAACTGTTTACTCCTTTTTATCCATGGTCACCCACTTTTGGTATGGCAACTTGCAGAGTGATGGAGATGTGGACCTGTTTCCCAACCTCTGGTCCTCCCAGTAATCCTTTCTTCATGCGTTGGCTTCTTTCTCTTCCACCGAGGCTTCATAAACATACATACACATAATTTAAAGAAAGTACAGATCTTGAGACTAGAACTCAGTCTTCTGAGAGATGCACTGTTCTCATTTATTGAGTGAAAAGGAAAACAAAAGGAGAGGAGAGTAGGAGATGAAGGGGATGAATGAATGTTCTTTGGAACTTAGAGAATGTCTTACTTTAGCATTTTGTGAAATGGACCTCTTAGTACACAAAGCATCTAGAATTTAAAAAAAAAATAAATTTTTTTAAAAGATCAACTCACTAGTTGCTACAAAATGCTAAGGTTATAATGAAAAAGATCTTCAATGACCTGGCAGTCATTAACAGCAGTTTACACCCCCAGTACTGAATGAAAGCTCTGCTAAACTTGCCTTTTCCAGAGTGAAGAGTGGGAAAGAAAATTAACCACATTTCAGCACCAACAGAGAAGCCACTAATCAAACATTCCACTATCGCTTTGGTGACTGTGTTTGCTGTTTGAGGAAGGAGGTTCTTTATAGTCTATTCTCAAGCAAATAGTTTTGCAGGAAGGGGGTTAGAGGGAGTCACACAGGGTCAGAGTGTCTATAATCTGGGGGCCCTGTGGACACAAATCCACAAAGCCATTGAAATTGTGTGACACCAACTGAAGTGACTGAAACAAAAATGTTCCTGAAAACTGATTACAGAGAGTAATTAGCTAAAAATAATACTGAATTCTAACTGTTCAATGTGGCATAACAGCAAAAACAACTCACAGCACCTCTAGCTGATTATATATGATACTAAAATATACCTGAGGGTTCACCTTTAATCTCCTCTGTTAATTTTGAGTTCATTGCCATCGTTCTTCCTAGAAAATGAAAACTTCCATTCTCTCCTTCAGCATAAGATCTCTTTTCAATTACTACAGATTAAGTTCCTGGAGTACCACTCATACTTGTGGATTTTCTCATTACCAAAAGTCTCATATTTCTCTTAAACAGGATGTAAATTTTCACTCCAGCAAATAAGAAGGCTTTACATTTTTGTAAACCTTAATTCATCTATCTAGAAGAAAGGTAATTTAAAATTGCCATTGCCTCCAACAGGCCCTTCTGAATGACATTTCTAAACACTGTAGTCCCTATTCTAATTTCTTGGGTATTATACTTGGAGAATAACAGAGTATAAACACTGGAAGGATCTTTGGAGCTAATTTTAACTAAAGTTAAATTAACAGGTGAGAAAAGGTCAGAGAGGTTGATGTCATGCCGAAGTTCACCCAGACATGTGTAGCAGAGCTAGGGCTCCAGTTTAGGTAGCCAAACTCTTTGAACAGTGCTCTATCTTGGCTAACCAGAGTGTGTTTCCCCAATACAGTATGTGTCAAAGATGTCTTAAAGTCTCGTTAAAATATTTATGTGACAGAACAAAAGTATTATTTTGTGATGGTTTAATAGCATAACGTTCTTCTTCTCCCACCCAATAGACAATGTGTTGGCATTATAACCACCTTACTCCTTCCCAGGTCTTTAATGAGAAAAAAAGGCAAAATATGCATAAAGAACAACCAGAGGAAACTTTGAGAAACAGACGGATTGAGGAGTGTAAGCATGAAATATGTTCTGTGAGAGGAGAGGGGTCAATGGCCCAAGAATATAGAGACAAGATAGTGCAGCAAAGAGGGCTCATTCCGTCTTAGACAGAAGAGGGAGAAACTTGGTAGAATCTTGAGGTACTAGAGAAGAGATTTTTAATATGCCTGATCCAAGAGTCTCTCAAATGTTTGGGAGATAAAATCTTCTTTGGGTCAGGCTCCTTTCGGTACAATGCCATTTGAGGACTGACTCACAGGGGTAAAAGCTTTACAAGTATTACATCTTATTAAAATTCTTCTTAACCCTTGACTGGGAAAAGAGCCTC